TCATACAATCAATTGTAAGCATTTAATCAGTGATTCTGCAAGTCCATTTTGTGTATGAACATGTGCCCACAGGATGTTTAGTATCAATTCCAAGAGACATGCAATATTCATTAAAAGCTTGTGAAGTAAATTCATTAGCATTATCTAGACATATTTTCTTAATACGATAATTAGAAAAGTGTTCCTTTAATCTAATAAGTTAAGCAAAAAATCTTGCAAACATTAGATTATGAGAAGACAACAAGCAGACATGCGACCATTTGTTGATGCATTAATTAAAACTATAAAGTACTTAAATGGTCCGCATGATGGGTGTATAGGCCCACAAATATTACCTTATATGCATTTTAAAAATGTGAAAGACTCACTTTTTATTTTTGTTGGTGGTAGTCAAATAATTAACTTTCCTTTAGAACATATAACACACGAGAAATCATGGGATTGTGGAATCTGTTGACCTTTTAATGAATGTCCACATGATTTTTCAACTATCTTTCACATCATAATTGACCTGAGATGGCCTAACCGATCATGCCAAACATTAAATTTATTATCATTTGTAAACTTATAGTTTATAATAGCATGTATTTTAATTGTATTAATAAATGTGTAATACAAGTCAGGGAAAAAGGTAGGTAATTTTTCTGATGTGCATTTTTTACTAGAAATTAAATTCGTGATAATAATTTATGCTTTATTTTCCTCATTTGTTGTTAATGTGGTATCCAGTTCTCCGGATATCCTTGAAACTCAATAAATTTTTACTAGACTTATTATAATAAAATGCAATATTAATGTGTAATTTAGTTCCTCTAGGCAACAATATATTAGCTCTTTCAGAGCCATCAATTATATTTATACTTCTGGATATAGTTTGAACATTAGCTTCTTGCATTACCAAAGAAGAAAAATATTTTTTATTTTTGAATATTGCATGAGTTGTTGTACTATCAACGAGAGATATATCTCTATTATTGTCATTAGTTCTAATCAAATGAATACTCATTCTTCATTAAAAACTTTAAAAATATATAATTAAAACATGAAATACAAAAATTTTATTTATCAAAAAATAACATCATAAGTAAATTCTCTAAAAAATAACACTATAAGTAAATTCTTTATTCCAATGCAAAAAAATTAAAATGACAGTTAATTATAAATTTTAACAACATCAAGATTTAAAAAAATTTATTTCTGGACATTTCCATCCCCAATCAGGTGATCAATTCTTCCATTAGGATGGACAAAGAAATCAGCAATATTCAAATAAGTAACATCCATATCACCATAATCAAAATTTTCTTCAGAAGTAAAATATGTTTTTATCTTCACCTCTTTATTTTTACTTTTACTTTTAAATGATTCTTGGTAAAGATCAATCAAGTGTTTTGGGGTATGACAAGTGTGTAACCAATGATCTTTACCACTACAACAGTAACTCAAATTTGGATCTTTAAGTTTACTAATGAATTTTTTAGTTTCTTAAGTTTACTTAGTTATTAATTTAATCTTTTAAATTTTTTTATTAATTTAGTCACTTATATTTTCTTAAATTATCATGTGACTCCTCTAAATCAAAATAATCAAGTGTGTAAAGTATATTAATGATTTGACATATACATATATGTAATTAAATGAAAACAAATTGACCATCAAATTAGTTTAATTTTTACTAATATAATCTCTTATACTATGTTCTGTTCTTTTTTTTTAAAAAAAATTTAGAATTTGATTTTTCCCACATAATTAAATGTATTTTTTTCATTAATCTGCATGACTTTCATTAATATTCTATTATATTTATTAGCAAATTTTAACAACGTAACTTTCTTTTAAAACAACAAGGACCAAATTGGTAACCAAATTAAACTTAAGAAACTGAATTCATAAAAATTAAAAATGAGAGATCAAATTGATAATTGAAATAAACTTGAAAGATTAAAAGTTATACTATCTCATAATAAAATTAAGCAAAATCTAGATCTTATTTTGCTATCTAACAAAAATATAATTCAAAATAAAAACAATCTTTTACAAACTATATTTTAAAACGTGGGTAAAATAACATACTAAATAAAAACAATTTAAACTGGAATTACCAAATTAAATAGAAATGATTCGTATCTTTCAACTTCAAGATGTTATTCTAAGTCCCATTTATTACTATACTTAAATCACATTATCATCCGCCATTTTACCATCCTGCCTATTATTTATCACCTTGTTTAATTACCACAATTTTTGTTAAAAGATATATGAGCTACAAAATATTATAATTTAGATAATTTTTGTAACATATCTATGTATCTTTTTGTGTGTGCATGTGGAAGTTCCTATTAAATTGAAATCGTTGGACGAATCACGTGATTAGCATGTGATATTCCCCTCCACTATTCCTCAAAACGTGGCTGAAATAAAGGCCCTGGAACTGAATCATAAGTTTCTTCATTTTTGCTCGATCCTTTTTAATTTTTTATTTACTTAACAAATCTCTAATTAAATTCTACACCTATCAAATTTTGACTAAACAGATTGAACAATATAAACTAAAAATAGCACAAAAATTTCATCTCCATGGCCCCAAGGTTGTCAAAGTTGAGCAAGTTAAAATAAACTTGTGATAAGATGTAAATTTAAATTGTAAACTCATAAGAGTTTATTTCTATTAATAAATAGTTATTAAAAGTGTATGATTAAATATTAAAATATAAAATATGACCATAATATAATTTAAATATATTTTAAATATAAATTATTAAAATTAAATTCATTTATCCTGATAGATTATTGTATTCAACATAAAAATTTTAAAATACGCCAACTTATTGTTTTTTACATTTCTTTTTTTTTATTCATATTAGTTTTTGCTTTTTTGAATTTTATTTTTCTTTGAATTGGGTTTTACCACTTATCTATATTGAGTTTTGCATGTTATATACTTAATCACTCAACTTGATAAAAAATTGACCAATTTAACTGAATTACATCTAATTTAATTTATGGGTGAATTGACACGATTTTATAAGCAATGAATGTACAAAATGATAAACTTGAAAAGTTGACTTCCAAGTTTAACAAAGTTTATGTTCAATATAATTTTATAAATGAGTTAACATGATTTTATAAGTTATGAATATAAAATTAATAAATATGAAAAGATAATTTAAAAGTTTGACAATAATGAATTGACCTTTCTTGAAAAGGTAAAGATGCAAAGTTGACACTCAACTATTTTTTTAGGAGTATTGAGTAAATTATACTATACTTTAATGAGAAATAAATTCTTAACTTTTAAAAATAAAATATCTAGTAGCCTCTGTCAATTTTTATTTAACAGACGTTAACTTTCCATACGAGGCCCATAAATTTTTGATTGAAATGATATGTGGCGCTTCATCTTTGCAGATAAAAGTGTAAATCTAGCTATGAATTATTTTTTGATGAGCACCAAGTAGCTTTTATTATAAAAATACAAACCATCTAGTACCTTCTTATTAATTTTGACTATACATTATCTATTTTTAAACTTATAAGACCCAAAGTACTTCAATCTCTTTAATCTTTTTACCTTCATTCTTAGTCTAAACTCAAAATAGAAGGTTTAAAGAGTTTTTATCTAAAAATATTTATAAGAATGATGCCAATGAAGTAGAAGAGGAAGAAAGAGAAGATGAGGTTTCATTTGAATTTTTGTGGCAATTCAAGCGAAGTTGTAGTTTGAATTGCGATACCACTATGCATGAGAGAATCTTAATTCAAACTTAGTTTAGACACAAATCATTTTTATACAAAATGAAGCAATTGAATCAAGCTTCTCCTATGCATAGTGAAATCGCAATTCAAATTGCTATTTCACTTGAATTGCCACAGAGATTTAAGTGAAACTTTGTATTGTTTTACCTTGTTGGCATCGTTCTTATGAATGTTTTTAAATAAAATTTTTTTGAGCCTATTCTTTTTGAGCTGACATTAAAAATGAAGGTAAAAAAATTAAAAAGACTAATAGGATGTGGGTCACATAAGTCTGAAAATAGATGGTGTTTAATCAAAATTGATGGAAAAATGCTGAATGGTTTATTTTTTATAGTAGAGACCACTTAGTACTCCTTAAAAAATAAATTATGGCTAGATTTTAATCTTTATTTGTTGAGGTAGAGTGCCACATGTCATTCAATGAAAAAAATTATGAGCCCCATGTGAGAAGTTAACATTCATTGAATAAAAATTAATGGAGATTGTTGGATGCTTTGTTTTTGAAGGTCGATAATGCATTTCACACCATCTTATAATATATGCTATCCAGTGCTCCTGAAAAATTAATCGAGAGTTAAATTTACATCTTTACCCTTCTTTAAATAATAAGGTCACTTTATTAAAAATAATGATACATTCATTGACACTTTTGTCGAGATCTAATAAATTTTTTTTTTCAATTTATAATTATCTCCCTCTCTCCTTTATTTGCTTGAACACTTGCAGTTGGAAAAAAATAAAAAACAAAATTAATCGTCTGGTTTATATGATTTTAATTCTCTTAAAACTCAATTTTTAAATTTAAATCACAATTCTTATAATTTATACTCGATTTAAAGTAATTCCTAATTTTAAATCAACAGCGCTCATTTCCTGTAAAATCACCGTGCTCACCCCACCACTTACGACAAGACGGCTCGGTTTAGACTTTCGATTAATTGAAGATTCCATTATTACTCGGATTACCGTTTCATTATTCGCTAATGAGTAGCAATAACTTCTCCGTCTGACATTTGACTGCGGGAAGAGCATGCGTTCGCAAGTCAAAACTACGACTCCCATAAGTATCGCGTGAAGTCACGCATCTGAAAGGGCTCGTGGTTCTCTAACCAAATCTGTAACAGAAAAAGAGCGAAAATTCTTGTTCAACGGTTACCACGCGGTGCTTTTTTCGTGTCCCGTACTACGAACGACAAACCCAAATAAAAAAAGATAAATTAACAAGCCAGAAAAAAAAAAAAAAACATTGTGACCGCTTGGCACTTTTGTTTCCTCTCCAACCCATCGCCTCTTCTTCAAATTCCTCTCCTTCTTCTGTGCTTCAGGGGGGAAAAAACAAGTAAAAAATATCTCCCTCTCTCTTTGATACCTTTCCTACTGGTTTCTTCTCAACTTCCCTGCCAAGAATGCCAAGCGTGGTTTCACTTCAAGCTGTATACGTTCTGGCCTTTGTGTTTCTGCTGATTTTGACTCTGGGGTTAGCTGGTGATATAGTACACCCCGATAATATAGCTCCCAAGAAGCCTGGTTGCGAAAACAACTTTGTTCTGGTACGGAGTTTTAGTTTCTATTATGAATTCGAAAACTACTTTAGAAATGTCATTCTTGCCGCCACGGATAGGAATTAGGAACAAGGAAAGGAATTGAGGGGGGAAAGTCGGCAAAAAAAGTTAGAAAGGTTTTTTTTTTTTTTCAGGAAAATGGTGAAGTGGGGTAATATTGAAATTCGATTTCTATTTTGTTGTTTTTGATTTGTGCTTGGAGAGATAGGATATGCTCCTTTTCTAAATCAAAATGTATATTTTCAATTTTTGATGTTAAATACTTTCAGATTGCTGATTTTGTCCGGTGACCTGGAGAAAGACAGCGAAAAAAATATAAAGCATAAGATCTTTTTAAATAGAGTAAAGGTTTCTCATGGCCAAACAAAATTGAGTATAGGTTTGTAGAATTATTGGGAGGAACTGCCCTGTTTCATTGGTAATGGTTTCTATATTTTATTTTTGTCAATATTCTCATGGGATCTGTTATTATGCCCTTTGCATTTTTCTTTTGGGGGATATATATTTCACCTTTTGTCTCTGTTCCTGGACTAATTTCTGGTGTGCCTTGTCTCTTGATTATTACGTGTTTTATTCGATGCTCTATTTCATTTGAAAATGGAAGGGAATGTTAAGTTCGCAGACATCCTTAATTGATTGCTGAAAAAAGTGATTGCAGTAAGATCACTGTGAGGAACATAATGCCTAAACTTCAGAAAATCAAATAAGAAAATCTTTTATCCTATTTTCTCCAGGTTCCAGAAAAATGCTTTGGGTTGTTATAGGAAATGTCATGAATGGCCCTTATCTTTTACAGGTTTGAGCCATTTGACAGTTTGACTGGTTTCACATTTGATAGGTCAAAGTCCCTACATTGATTGATGGTGTAGAAGACAGTGAATATGTTGGTATTGGAGCACGGTTTGGCCAGTCGTTGGAATCAAAAGAAAAGCATGCCAACCATACCACTGTTGTCTTGGCTGACCCTCCTGATTGTTGTAGCAAGCTTGAAAATGAGGTATTTGGGTTCTGAGCTATCCAATTTTTCAAATGCTAATAAACTTGCATGTGGAGCATGGATTTTCGTAGTAGAACCTTAAATTTTTTTAGATACTTATCAATTTGTAATTGGGAGTTTGATAGCTTACTGGCAAGGTCATTTTGGTGCACCGAGGAAATTGTAGTTTCACAACCAAGGCAAATAGAGCTGAAGAAGCTGGGGCTTCTGCTATCCTCATTATAAACTACCGAACAGGTGTTTGCATTTATTCTGCTTTTTTTCTTCTGAAATGAATTTGAATTTACAGTAAGAGGCTAAGAGTTCAGGGGAATCATTGTTGTAGAGAATGTTAAGTAATTGTTTGTTCATTATTCTTTATTAGCATAAACAAATATCTTGCTATAAGTAATTGTTGAATTTTTAATCTAATTTGAAGCTTTGGGTATTGTATTCGTTCTAATAAATATAATCTTAATGTTGTGCAGAACTTTTCAAGATGGTTTGTGATGAGAATGAAACTGATGTTGATATTAGAATACCTGCTGTCATGCTTCCACAAGATGCTGGCACAAACTTGGAAAAGCATTTAGAGAATAACTCTACTGGTACCTTTCACTTTCTCTGTATATATATATATCTCTTCGGCTTGTAATTGATTGTGCCTTTCATTTGGTGCAGAATTTAATTTGTTTTACCTACTGAGGTGGTTTTGTTGCATACTGTTAATACTACCTTTGGACTTTTGTTACAATTTGCACTTTTTTTAGTGTCAGTGCAGTTATACTCTCCATTGCGTCCAACAGTTGACGTTGCAGAAGTGTTTTTATGGCTCATGGCTGTTGGTACCATTCTATGTGCTTCTTATTGGTCTGCATGGACTGCAAGAGAAGCAGCCATTGAGCATGAGAAACTATTAAAGGTTACTTAAAATTAAATTCCTCCTGTCAATTTAATTCTTTTTTTATGAGCTAGTTTTGTTCTTTGTGATAGCAGAAATCCTTACCTTTTTAATAACTCGCTGATATAGTTACTGATATATGAATAACTTATATTTTTGCAGGATGGTTCAGAGGAACCTATAAATATGGAGAATGTTGGTTCCAGTAGTTATGTGGAAATTAGTACTGCTGCAGCAATTCTTTTTGTTGTGGTTGCTTCTTGTTTCTTGGTCATGATTTACAAATTAATGTCATACTGGTTTATTGAGGTTTTGGTGGTTCTATTTTGCATTGGTGGGGTAGAGGTGAGTTTTTCGTTTTCCAGATTTGGTTTCTCCTTATTAGAACTCAGCTCTTTCTCTGCTCTTGATTATAGCGATTCAGTGATGAAGCATGTATTCCTAATTGCCATTATTAATTTTCTTGATACACCTGCAAAATCTTAGGTTTTAGTTATGTATCCTTAACAGCATTTAGCTCCCTGCATGCATCCAAATTCAGGCACATTTAACCACAGTTTGACTTGATGTTAATGGAGAAAGAGAAGAAGGGAGGATAGAGATAAGAGGAGATATAGTGTAGTAGTGTACTTTGATGAGAAGAATATTTTAGTTTTAATTGGTTAGAAAATCCAAATTTGGATGATTGGAAGCTTATTGCAATTGAACTAATAGATCCACGGACCAATTGCAATTTTTTTAGATGAGGGGGCATTGAAATTGGAGGCAAAGGTCAGGGTGGGTAAATGCAATTTGTCCTTAATATTAATGCAAGAAGATTGCATAATTGTTGAAAAAAAGAACATAGTGTGAAAGTGGAACAAATTTTAGGAACAGGAAAAGGACTACTTAGAGAAAGGAAAATACAAGAAACCATTTGGTGTTACTTTTCAATTTGGACCGGACATGCAATATGCTAATGATTACTTACTTTAGATAAACATCTAACTGTCATAGTTTTTGTTGGCCACTGCTTAATTTTTATTTCACATGCTTGTAAGATTAATTTTTGCATCAATAATTACTTGGAACTAACTTCAAAGACTATGGCATGATCATGTTGTCATTATACTTCTAAATTAAGGACTTTTATGTGCTTTCAGGGACTCCAAACTTGTTTGGTGGCTCTTCTATCATGGTACTAATCCTTTATCCTTTTGTAAATTCTTTTGTATGCTTTTGTCATTAGAGTCATGCCCATTTATGAAGGATTGGAATTCGATGAGATGAAAATTTGATAACTAATTCATGGATTTTTAGTTTGCCCTGAAATTGTTGCTGTGATTTTCTGGTTATCTATCTGGTTACCTATCTTGTGCTTTTAATAGCTAAAATCACTGACAACGGTAAAAGAGAATGGTAGTTTCATTTTGTTAAGACAAAAACACAATGTAAGTTTTCAATAATTTGGCAATTACGGATAGTGCTAGAAAATAAGAGAATGACATGCAATCACATGGTTTTTGTGGAACATTGGGAAGACTTGTACTTTTTTTCTGCTTTTTTAAGCTGTATGTCCGATCCTCCAGTGATGTATATCCGTCTCTTTCAAATAGATGTTCTTTTTCCTTTATTTTCAGCATTACATGGAAAGACAAATTTTGTTGCTAAAAAAAGTGATAGTTGTAGTCTGTGGATGTTGAATAGATGGTTTATCTTATGTGGTTCCTTTGTTATTATTAAAATTGACAACGAAATATCTCTAGTTTCAGATGGTTTCAACAGGCTGGGCAAAATTTTGTTAAAGTACCCTTATTTGGAGCGGTATCATATCTGACACTTGCAGTTACTCCTTTCTGCATAGCATTCACTGTTGTTTGGGCAGTACATCGCCGCATCTCCTTTGCTTGGATTGGTCAAGATATTCTTGTAAGAATATTTTTGTCTTTTTACTTGTTGGAGTGATAAGATATAGAAAACTATGACATAATCATGATTATCCCCTTGCCTCATATCATAGAAATTGCCGTCCAAGTCCGACCATCGGAAAATTCAGTATAAAACTAGAAACGTTCTGAAATTATAGTGAATTTGATAATTTTTTTCTTCTTGGTCTGACTTTTAAACGAAGTGGGAGACTTAAGGATAATATCTTGTTATCCCTCGATATATTCTCTGATAGTTAGGATCCAGTTAGTGTGTTTTTGAAAATTCAGAGATGTAAATCCCTGAATTAGTATTACCTATCTGAGGTAGAGTGCAGCTAGAGACTTGAAGAGAGCATTGTTTTCCTATTGGTACACAGAATTTTGGGATCAATTATCATAATTCTAATGTCTTCTTTGTACATTGAAGTAGGCTATTATTAGTATATGCTACCAAAGGATGGCTTTTGGTAACATTTAGTGCATGGTTGATAACTTTTCTCGCAGCCTTTAATAGCTTCTAATGGTTTTCATGCCCATGTTTATTATTTCTGTGCTGTTTATGTTTTATTATTACTCAACAAGACTATTTTAGGTTAAAAAAGTTGCCCCTTTCGGTTTTGTTCACCCTGAAATTCAAGTTCTGCACATTCCTTGGCATCCCTGTGTAATGGAACCTGAAGCTTTTAAAGAATGAAACCTGGTTTGCTAAGTGCGAACCTTATATAAATTTGAGTATTGAAAGGTGATCGATAACATACAAACATTTCCCTCTCCATCCAGGGCATTGCTTTGATAATCACAGTTCTTCAGATAGTCCACATACCAAATCTTAAGGTGACCCTCGTAATCTTATTTTTCTTACTAATTATAGTTTGAGGTATTCGAAGGGCTTGCATATGATATCAATGAGATAATTCACGATGGCTTTGCTAACTTATTTTTTTGTCCAACAAACAAAGCTACTAACTTATTCTTTCTTGTTTATTTAAAATCAGGTTGGAACTGTTCTTCTTAGTTGCGCCTTCCTCTATGACATCTTTTGGGTCTTTGTCTCTAAATGGTGGTTCCATGAGAGTGTGATGATAGTGGTGCGTGTTTGAGAAGAAAACTCTTCCTTTTCCATCCTTTAGAATGCTTATTTGATCCCATAAATTTGATGCATTCTTTCTCAATCAGTATGTGTAACTTTGTCACTTATACACAGGTAGCTCGAGGTGATAAGAGTGGGGAAGATGGTATTCCCATGCTACTAAAGATACCCCGCTTGTTTGATCCTTGGGGTGGTTACAGCGTCATTGGTTTTGGGGACATAATCTTACCTGGGCTGCTAGTAGCATTTTCTCTAAGGTTTAATCAGAAGTCATATATAGAACTCGTGCAATTTATATCTCTCTCTTTCTGATGCATCTTCCCTCTTTGAACTATTAATGTTCAATTTTTTAGTTAACTGATTGTGTAAGTCATGGAACATTTCAGACAGGGAGAGAATGGTTTGGCCTTTGGATCATATTAATGTTTCATGAACCTTAATTTCTGTTGTCAATTTTACAGGTATGATTGGCTGGCAAAGAAGAAGCTTAGGGCTGGATACTTCTTGTGGGCAATGACAGCTTATGGTTTAGGTATGTTAATGCTTGATCCGAGGGATATTTTTGCATACTTCTACTTGTCTCATAGTTTCCTCAATAAAAGTACGCATCAAAACAAAAGAGTAAGAATTATAGAAGTAATTTAATGGTGCCGTGAAATTTCTTTCATTATGTCACCGATGAAGAAGAAATAGTATGATGTTGCAAACTTGCCAAATTGGTAGCCTCTTGAATCCTACTTGAATGAGAAAAGAAGGTTCAAAGTAGACTAGAAGTTTATATCTTGTTTAATATATTTACACCTGTGCGAGAATATATTCCAGTGAAACACAACACAATTTTATGGTTTAGCATGAATATATATATGCTATTGCATAACACTTAAATGGAACAAAACTAACACTGCTATCTGGTGCTTCTTTCTTCTTGTGTGGAGAGGTTGGATGTTGTCAAGTTGACGTAGTCTTTCATTATTTCATTCTTGAGCTATGTCCTGCAGGTCTTCTGGTGACATATATAGCTTTGAACATGATGGACGGGCATGGCCAACCAGCTTTGCTGTACATAGTACCATTTACGCTTGGTAAGTTAAATATGCTAGATTTAAATTCAAGCACTTGCTGATGATAGCAAGTTGGTTTCACTTAAGACAAGAAATAAGCAGATCAAAGTAACGACATTAGAGATAGATTCTACGTGACATGTCTCTTCATACTGGAATGTTCATACAATATCAGCTTTAATCTGCACGCCTGAGACCCAAATATCAAATTCTTAAAAATAAATCCCAGCCATTGAATGTGCTTACCCTGTACAATTTTTATTGGGGCATCTAATAAAGATTGGAACTACACGGAGAATAATTTTACTTCATTATTGGCCTGATGTACCTATCTTTTGTAGGCTTTAAAATGTATATATAGAATTTTTACTGAAACGGTTGAGTTTTCTGCACTTTATTCTGTGATAATGAACGCAGGAACCTTTTTGGCGTTGGGAAAGAATAGAGGTGAACTCAAGATTCTATGGACAAGAGGTGAACCAGAAAGGCCTCCTTGCCCGCACATGCAAGTCCAACAAGAGGATCAGCCTCAGTAAATGAAGCTTAGTAGTATCTTAGGTTCTTCAGTTTACTTGAGATCGATAGAAACTTTTAGGAGCTTGTCAAATTTGTGCACTGGCTTGTAACAATTGCAAAAGCATTCAACCCATAATGTGGTAGCTTCAACTTGATATTAGGCATCAATGTGGTAGCTTCAACTTGATATTAGGCATCCCATGGAATCCACAACTAGTACATGTAAAATTTTGATTTGCTAGACAGCGTCGAAGGTCTTGTAATTATATCCTTCGAAGTTGCTTCCGGAAGCATAACATAATATTGAGAAGAAAATAGCAGAAAGGGACAAGAGCAGATAACATGAGAGTAATTTTAATTCAGGCACAGCTTTGAAATCTTTTTAGAGGTAAAATTCAAAATAAGGAAAAGAAAAAAGAAAAAAGAAACTCTAGCTTGGAGGTTGCTGCGCATGATGGCCAATGTGCTCAGGCGAAGCATTCTTGAGTGTTAAAGTATCTTTACTATTCAGGGGTAAAAGAAAGCAGCAGCAATTATCATTCCAATATTGTTGTGCTAAAATTTATATGCAATTTATTTAAAAAAGAAGTCAACTTACATGAGATTTAGCTGAACAAACAAATTACTTGATACTAGCCACTTCATCACAATAACACCAGAAAATGACTTTTCACGCAAGCATTGAACATCTCTACCATCGTGTTTAGGTAGCTCGTAAGGCAGGTTGCCAAAAGAAGTCTGATTTTTTTCTTCCCTGATAAAGAATTCTGAAATTTTTCTTGCATGGTTATTTTCATCCAGCTAGTTCAAACAGCAATAAGTGATGTCAGTTTTATCCTTTATTTTTATTTTTTGATCTAAAATATGAAAGCACATTCAAAATAATCCATCTTATATTCACAAAATACACCCCACACAACGTACGTACGTACGTACGTGCATGCATACATAAAGCATCATTCTGGCAAATTAAAATCGATACTTCTGATATCAACACAAAAGGGGCAAAACATATTAACTAGATATTCAGAGTTCCGAGTAACTGATTCAAGGGGCTCAGTGAGCTTCTAATATAAACGCAACCCATACAAAGCTTAGAATAATATCCTTATTCCCATAAAATACAGAGAATACCCCAGAATCAAACTGCAGCTGGGCCAAGCACCACCAATGAACTATAAAGAATAAAATAAATTAAATGAAAATAACCGACACAACATTTTTCTACGCCTATCAGTGTCTCTCAAAATTGTAAAGCCACATTCGGCCATTCTGTGAGGAATCATTTCAAGTTCAGTCCTGTACATGGAAAAGAATCACTTTTCAGCTAAAGCTGAATCAAAAGCACAAGGATATTTAGATATCAACAGTTAAGCTTGGCGGCACAATCACGTGCAAATAAAAATATCAAGGCGAGGAAACAAAGCCATACAGTCAAGTCGCCTTAGAGAACTGGTCCCATTGGTGGAAAAAAGCATTGTTTTCCTCTCTTGCCCTGATGACGACAAAAGTTCTTGCATCCTCTCTGGCCAGTCCGAATTCAATATGCGTTTAAAGTCTTCCACTTCCCTGCGTCCAAAGGTACCGTGCAAATAAGATTTTAGTGTGCTATTTTAATAGCACGATAGTGCAAATGTGTCAACGTACTTAGCTGGCATCATCTATAACAGAATAACTAGTTACAGGGTAGTTATAGTAGTTAGAATCTTGTATAGACAAAGGACCCATAGGAAGGACCTACGTACTGCTGCTGACAAATCTGAATAGTAGTCAGATATCTGTCCTCTCTCAATAATTTGATATCAATCTGGTATCCGGACCTCTTTTTGGCCACTTGGTGCCAGGAACTTGATCACAACAAGAGAAATGGGGAAAGTTGAGTACGGGCTCAACTATAACACCATCATTGAGTAGATGCGAGCAATAATGGAGAACAACACACGAGAGAAAGGGGAGATGCTAGATGTGACGTCTTGAATTGAGGCGTTCACAAGAGCAATGGACTTCAGTAGAGGCTCTACTATCACACCATCTCGGAAAGAATCAGGAAACACTTGAGTCACAGATTAGATGCTGAAATGGTTGTGTATTATTGGTACTATATTGCAGACTTGAAATGAAGTGTGAGATAATTGATAAGCCTTTGGCGAACGTGTTGAAGAAAAATGAAGCCTTCAAATGGAACCCAGAGGCTGAGACCCTTCACCAAACCTAAAACGACTATGACATCAATGCCTGCCCTAGACCTTTCAAAATTTCAACAGCGTTCTGTGATGGAAACCTGTGCATCAAGAAGTGGTCGCGCGGCTGTCTTATCATACGAAGGGCACCTTACAGCCTTTGCAAGCAACCTTCTCTGTCCAACCTTTTTTAGTGGAATGACCTCAAGGAGGTTAGGAATTTTGACCAAAATTGTAGCACATACTGAAGGTTTAAATACGAAAATATATCTATTCCAAGGTTGATACAACCACTCCCATAAGCACATATGGTCACATTTGGCTACGGATTTCATTAAAGTCTTGACAAAGTCGCAGTCTAAAACTACAATTTTAGGGGTCATGTATAGATTTAGTAGGCTGCCCATTTCATTCCACTTGGACCCTCATATACAGCAAGAGTTAGCTCAAACCTTCATGGACAATGTAGTTAAGTTGCATGGTTCTCTTATGAGCAAAGTCAGAGACAGAAATCCCCATTTTCTGGAATGATTTGTAGAGAATTATTCAAGCTGCATGAGTTCCAATTGCGGTACTCTTCTTCCTCTCAGCAACAAATTGATGGAAAGATGGAAGTGCCACATAGAATGTTGGAATGTTGCTTGAGGTGTATGACTAGAGGTTTTCCCAAGCCATAGGCAAAATTGCTTCCTTTGGCTAAATTGTGATACAACAAACACATCTTACCACTTAGCTATAGGCATGACAACCCTAACCAACTTCCTTCTTGGCTGGTGAATCAAGCAACGAGGTAGTGACCAGAAATTTTATAGCCAACAAGTTACGATTCAGACACATGAGCACCATATTGCAAAGGCTCAAACATATTGCAAAGGTTCAAAACAGAATGGTGCAGTAGGCTAACAAACAATTGAGACGGAGTTTACAGTAGAAGACTTTGAAACTTCGACCTGTCAAGAGGAACCTCATCTATTACTCTCTTCACAAGCCTTCAACCAAGCATTGCCTTATCCATTCATTAAAAATAAACAAGATGAAGGCTGCATACAAGCTTCAATTACTAGATGATTCAAGAGTGTACATTGTTTCGCTTGTCTTGTGAAACATGTTGGAAATAGGGCCAGTAAGCACAAGGCTAGTAAGTGGGTGATTCAAAGGCAGCTCACGCTATAACATGAAGAAATAATGGCCAGGACGGTGGTCCTACTTCCGATGACAAAAGGCATTAGTCAAGTGGGAACATGCTAGATGGGAAAATCCTACCCTAGGAATATCTTCCTGTGCTTCAACACCAGTGCCAATTCCAGGAACAACCATAAAGATCAAGGGTCTATAGGGTGATTGATAGGTGTCCATTAGCCTCATGCATGGATGGAGGACGGAAGAACTATAAGAGGGTCCCATGTATTATTGAGAGATCTAAATAACAGTCACACATTCATTCTTTCCCAATATTATTCTAGTATCCCTAACTATCATGCAATCATCTATTCCATCAAATTATTATCCCGATTTACCTAGAATAAAATTCATAAATAAAAAGAAAGCAACGAAAAAGATCATCAATATGTTAGATAATAGAGTAAAAAAATTGTGAAATTAAATTATCATAATATATAAATTATTAAGTTAAAATAATAATAATCATGAGCATCACATAATGAGCAAAATCTTTGTATAGGCAGAATTTAAGCAACTCATTGTGAATATGACATCATACAAAAGATTAGATATCAGCTCACAATAGTACAAGGTAAAAACAGATGCTATATGAGTGAGATTTTACTATATTCAGCTTTTTGACATCTGTAAATGCACTGTAATGAATACAAACCTCACTTTATCATTTCAAATTTTATTGTTCATTGTCGTACCTTCCAGTCTGACAACATGAATGTCAACTCGTAATTTCACCTTCAACCAGCAATGGATAAAAAGAAAATAGAACGAATTTTAAGAGGACACAGTTTCATGATTCTACATTCTTGTTCTGTGCATCTTATATGATCCAGATAAAAGCTATTGAGCAATTTTAGTGACCATAAGTCAGAATAAAAGCTAACGAAAATTGTCTGAGTAAAGCACAGCACAGAGCGTTAGCTACACCTGTCAATTTTTTCCTGTAGTGCAGGATCAATCTCATCATCTATATCACCATCACCAAACTCAGCCTTATGAACAAGGGTGACATTCTCCGCATCATGTAAATTTGAGGTCTCGCCAATTCTATCAGCTTCAGCACTTTGGCATCTCACATCATGACCATTTGATTCCTATTCAGGATAAAAAAGGAAACAAACAGAATTTTCATGATGATTGTGAGCATTTATTGCGTTCATTTAGAAACAACATAAAACCAAAAAAAAAAATGTAAATTGAACAGCATGACCACAGAATATCTGACCTCCTTATTAAGTTCAGAAGTCTCCTTTAAAGAAGAATTCTTCTGTTGATCTTTTTTTCTCCGGTTCTTCTTTTTATTTTTGGAAGTTTTGATTCCCTTTGGATCTGTGATCGAATTCCAAACCCTCAGTGAGAGATGTAATAAAATATAAACCAGAAAAAAACACTAGGAGGCCCATAAATCTCAACAAATCCTCAAAGAAACTCAACGTATTAAAAATCAACTAAATGGCAAAGGCTTATACAATGCACATACATGCAGATGAGAAACAAAACCATCACTTTGCATACCGTGTCAAGCTCATTCAAAGATTCAATGAGAAAATGCCGTACAATAGTTGTAACACATAAGGTGACTTATTGTTGATTCAAAAGTTCTCTTTCACAAGAGTTCATGTGATTTATTTCCATGTGTTTCACTAAAAATTCAGACACAAATTCCAAAGTCCAAAATGTAACAAGTGAGCATATCAGAGATTGCAACTTTTAACTCTATAAACAATCTTTCCTTTAGAGGAAAGTTGCAGTTTAAAATCAGGCCAAACTGGTACAAATTCTGTTAAACACTTTAAAACTCCAGCATCAAAGCTGTGCTGAAAAACTCTCATGAAAGAAGGGGGCCCAATATATAATCAATATACTTTCACCTATTCCTCCCTAAATTTGGTGGAGAATTGTGTTTTTCTCATCAAAATGCTATGGTCTGCATGATGCTGTCAGTGTGATCATAGCCAACAGTAACATGATTATTTTTGACTCAAAGAATTCACTACAGTCATACTGGCTCGTCTTAACCCTTTTTCTTTGATAAAATAATGAATTGCACTAAGAAGAAAAATACGAATGAGTAGGATAGGGTCTTCTCCGAGATGAAGATCAAATACCACAATAAAACAAAAGATACATGCAGGGGGGGGGTGAGGAAGACTAGCTCAATCCACCTCTATCATTTCCATTTATAAAGGACAAAAGGTCATCAACTGATCGTTCATCTACATGTTCATCTGCATGCTCATCTTCAAGTTCAACATTCTGAAGCACAAGAAATAATTCTAATTAAAATCAAAATTCATACATTTTAGAGCAAAAAGTTTGTACAAGAATACATGTGCACGGTTACCAGCAACAAAAGTTCAATTCAAGATGAAATTCTCAAGTAAGGATAAGGATTACATTCAACAAGCACGTAAGCAACAAAGTAAGAAACAAAACTCCATCACCTTTAACCTTTCACGCTCTCTAAGCTCCTTCCTCTTCTTGGCATACAAACGGTTCAAAAGTCTGATCCTTGGATCATCAGTTGTGTTTTTCAAGGGCTCCAATTTTTCTTCCTGGAACAAAAGAAGAGGTGAGAAATGAAAACTGAAAATCAAAGAAGACCTATGTGGCATTTTAGTTCTCACAAGCACCAGACACCTCTGTAAGATCATCAGGCAAATGAAATATTTCACGTATCTCCTCAGGTGCTTTCCCTTCAATTATTCGAGCAAGTGCACGACTGGTAAGATCGACCAATGGCTTCAGCTGAAGACTGTCAGCAGCAGATGTCAACTCACACAGCTTTTTGCTGTCCATCCGAACAAATTTTTCATCAAAGGACTTCCGTTCCTAGAGAAGAAAACTACCCAAAAATAATCATACTTGACATTCATTGTTGTCAGCTCAATTACCCAAATAAATTAATAATAATAATAATAATAATAATAATAATAATAATAATAATAATAATAATAATCAAGCACTATAGAAATAGTTAGAACCTTGTTTGAGCGCCCTGCTACTTGATGAAATCGACAATAATCAAGAATTAAGCTTAACAAGGCAGGACTAACTCGTTGAGGAAGACATATGGCACAATTCTTGGATGATCCCATCCCTTTTTGTATTATTTCATGACACATAAAAGGGCAAAACATTGCGATTTCTTGTTCCACTTGTTGAACGGAACCATCAGAAATCTGAAGCCAGACATAGGCTTTTATCATCTGAAAATTAAAATTAGCACCAGTATTGTTTCAGTATCAATGTGAAAGAAGCAACCACAAAATTCCCTGGAGAGCACACCTCCTTAAATAAGAGCCTGACAATAGGGTATTTCCATATAAGGCAAGTTGATAAACGTTTTTAAGAAAATCACAGCTTCAACAAGGCTTTGGTTTCCCCAAAAAGCTAGATACAGGATCTTAGGCAGTCGTGAAAGTTATCACAGATCACACAAAAGATTGGTTTGGGCTTTAAAGAAAAAGCAACACAAGGGATTTGTATGCGCCATAATGAGAGCCTAGCATAAATGTGCACACTATCAATTTTAAATGCACGGTTCCAACATATAATTTTCATCCTTCAGAAAATAAACATGAAAATCAGACATAATCATATCACCACTAAACCAGTTCTTTTAAGATCTAAAAAATCAAGATATGTCACATTCTCATCTAATGGTTAAGACTCTCAAGTCTCACAAGTCAATAAAAACACAAGAAACAGACTTAAACTTCCAGATGTTTAAAATCTACATTACATTTGAGGTGGAAAGTATTTAATTGTGTAAGAGGACTCAAAATCAAATACCTATAAAAAGGGACATATGCATTAAGTTCCAAGACAAAATTAAAGTCACTTGTTGAAGTAATCATAATAGATTATTTGAAGTTTACTTGAAGTAAATTGCTGAACCAAATAAAATAAAATAACAAAATCAATGCACAGCCAAAGAACAATGAAATAATTAAATAAAGAAGGAAACATCAGAGTTGTATGACTTCCATGTAAATTTAACTACACGCACCAATGAACAGTGACTTATAGCAAAAGTGCCAAACCTCGGGTTTAATAACTGCCATGTCAATTTCGGACATCTGTATATTATTTGGTAAATAAAATTATGTGGCTATAGAAAGCTTCTTTTTGTCACAAGCAATATGCTCTGAAGCATGAATTTAAGTTGCAATTCCACGCAACCACTTAAGACGACCGCCCCAAAAAGGTTCAAGCAACATTGCCAAAATGTGCATGTTCCATGAGCAGGGTATCTGCAGAGATGCACAAATTTCTATGTCACGGAATGTGAGCCAATAAGAAAAACAGGAACAATCTTGTGCAAGAGTTTAAATGACTATGGTTTAGCACCTTTGAAATTCAAAGTAATGAATGTAACATTAAAGATAATAAGCCAGCATGTCTGCAAATTAAGATATGACAAGTACTCTACTACTCCAAATTGAAGATAGTAAGATTTAGTTTTCACCCAACATACTTAGCTTTATAACTATAATTTAGAAATAGAATAGCTGCTTTATAGCTAGAATTCAGAATTAGAATAGCAATTGTAAATATATTGTTCATGTCTGATAGATGATTGTTATTGTGACAGAGAGGGAAGAGAGGAAGAGAGTAGAGAAAGAGGAAGAAGAAGAGAGACAGATAGAGAGTTAAGATGAGAGAAGAGAGAAGAAAAGAGAGGCTAGATGTTCTGGATAATACTCGGGATTCTCATTAAAGGAAAAATCATATCACCACACAATCTGAATTACAAGTAGGCATCTATTTATAGGCTATGCTCCTATCCACTAATGACTACTACGTATTAACTAATTTTCATGAACTAATTTTACAGCATCTTTTCCCCTCCCTCGCATTTATTATGATTATACATCAAAACCCCCTCCCAAGAGACCCTTGCCCTCAAGGGTCATGTATAGCAACAAAAGGGTACACTTTAAGAATTAAACAAAAGAATGTAGGCACTAAACTCTGAAAACTGCTGCTAATTATTACTGTTAGGTCCATGCAAATGATATTGACCTTTTTAATTGACCTATGAATCCATGAATTGATCATTGATGATAGCTGGCATCTACCCATGAGACAATACATGCAATACCCACTTAAGCTGGAGCGTATCTGTCTTCCACCCATGCTTCCACGTGTATAGACCCCCAGAGAAACCCACTGAAGCTTCAAAGAGATATGTGCCAACTGTTTGGTTGAACTTTTTACTTCAGAACACTCAACCACCTGTCAGATCCTGGAGCTTGACACACCTTACACTCACTTGTCCTTGCTGTTTCGGGAGTTCCGCCCAAGTTCTGCAGCTTTGAGAAGTTTAGAATCTTTAAATGTGTCTGGAGCACACATGTTGATGAGAAGACAAAAGTGGGCAGAAATGATGGGGCAGACAGCAACAATGCCTTTGGAGGACCCAAAAAAAAAAACTGCAACAGGGAAATCAGAGAAGACAATGGTGATGATGGCAACCCACTTACCCTTCTTAAGCTTCCCTCAAGCACCTCACCAACATGTGGAGGCTGGGTTTTCAAGTGAAAATTGTGATGACATGAGATATAGGTTGCACAAGTGCCACAAGCCTCTCCAACCTCAAGTAGTTGTTCTGTCGGATGCCTTTGCACTATCAACTCTGACTTGCAATGAACAAAACTAAAGGGGCAACCTACAACGAGATTTGGGGACCAGGGACAGATACACAAGGGGGCAAGCACATGATATAAGTTTTCTTTGTAAAATGGGTATTTTTTATTTATACCACATGTGAAAATTAATTCCCCCCCCCAACTTTCTTGTAATCTTTTTTTTATGGCGCCCCCAGGTATTCATTTCTAGATCCGTCCCTGCAAGGGACTATGTGCAATTTTGTTCCTCATCCTCAAGCAAACATCGAGAACTCTTCTTTGATTTCTTGTCACTTCCTGTGATTCTATCATGTTGAGGCATTTAAAGGTTAACGACGAAAATGATCAGCCTCCACCTTGAGAAGCCTGTGTGAGACTATAACAACAATATTTCTTGCATGCGGGCAAGACTTCTTGCTTCCAATAATACAAGTGGCCTGAAGAGATGCACTAACTTTGCAATTTCTGGCTTGAGCCCATCTACAAAGCAAGCACCAAATACTTTTCTGACATTTTCAATCGAATGGAGTGGATGCCAAAAAATCCATTCAATTCTTCCACACCCACCCCACTGACGAAGCCACATTTGGTTGTCATTCAAATTCTGGAAGGAAGGGCGTATCATGGCCAAGGATAGGCTGGCTCTTATGCCGCTGATAGATGATTGTAATTGTGACAGAAAGGGAAGAGAGGAAGAGAGAAGAGGAAGAAGAAGAGACTTAGAGAGAGAGAGTTCAAAGGAGAGAAGGGAGAAGAACAGAGAGGCTAGAGGTTCTCGATGACACTTGGTATTCTCTTTCATGGGAAAGTCATATTACCACACAATCTAAATTACAAGTAGGTATCTATTTATAGGCTAGGCCCCTACCCGCTAATGGCTACTAACTAATTTTTATTCACTAATTTTACAACGTCTTTTCTCATCACTCACATTTATTATGATTATAAATCAATGTCACAAGATGATACTTTCAATAAGTTGTTTGAGAATCTTTTAACAATTGATTACTTCACCCCCGAGGCAAACTAATAAAGGAGTGCCTTGTGGAAAATTTAAAAGCCACCTTAGGCAGTAAGCTTCTCTAGAACAGTCATCTTGATAAGAAGTACGCTGTTGGCCACCTAATGTGCTTCTCTGAACTTGCCATAACAACCCCCATTTCCATAATCAAGAATCTCAGTAATGTCCTCACTCCTCAGCACACCCAAAGCACTCCAGGCAGGATGCTAAGGATCTTGAGAAAAAACCACAAGGACCTTCAGGAGAAAGAATATTCGTTCAGAACCACCTCAAGGTACTCATTTCTGCCATTCTCGAGATATTTGATCTTCCCTGCAGCCTAAATTCTCCTTACACCACTCTTCTTACCAAAATATCTCATAAAGTTAGATTTAAGGAGACATTTATTTTAAATAACCATACATCACAGTTGGTTACAGGTAGTCAGGTGCCAACTAATACTTTAATTCTTTGGAATTAACCAATTAAATTCTTTTATGAACAAGCAAATAACTTAACAATCAGAAACCATATCAATTTTCCAAGTTTGCAATACTCATGTTTCCTCTAAGAAAGGACTCGAATTGTAATTTTTAGTGACTGGATCTGTCAAAGAACTCAGGAGGGAAAACAAAAAACTATGGAATTGTTCTTGAAAATAATCTAAGGTTGTAAAGCCATTGCTAGTTTCTCCTGCACTCAGAAGCAGACACAAGGACTTCTTATAACATGTGCCCGTAGTATTAAAACCACCCATGACAAATCCACGTGGTCTTTACAGAGGTTAAAGAAGAGCTCTTGATCATTCTTATTGCATCACAGTAATCACTAAAATCCTCTTCGTCTATCAACCAAATTTCCAGCAACCGAAAAGAATTCAATACAAAAAATAAAAGAAGGAAAAAGAATGGCCAGACAGCCCATAAATCGTATGAGTATGGGTAAAATTGACACGCTTCATCTCGTTCTATTGATGCAATACATTCAAGCCATGTATGAGTATGCAATGGAAAGAAATTGGTAAAGGGATTTGCAGCGCTTACGTGAGTTGTGGGCCTCTTAGAGCAGAAAAACTAATTGCACAAGGGAAGCTTTGAAATGGAGAGTATTGGCGTAGTCGGAGATGGCAGAAAGGATAGAAGAGAGAGAATTTTTATTTCGACAATGAAAAAATGTGAATAAATAAAAGAGAGAGGAAAAGAAAGAAATGGAGAACGTTGGTAGAAGCAAGAAACGGAGAGATAGAGTGAGAAGGAGTTGGAAATCTGTGTCTCAGAACTTCACACTTCAGTTGGAGTCGCTGTCAATGGCGGCCGAGCGTCGAAACGAGGAGGTTCCGTGAAACGACGTCGCACAAGTTGAACTTAAATAGGCTTTTCCTTGGGCCAAAGCCAAAGCAAGGAAGGGCTAAGGATCATGAGACTACTGTATAAAATTGTTTTTATTTTATTATTTTAAAAATTAATATTTTATAAAATATATTTTGCAAATAAAAAATAATAACAATATAATATTTCATGGGTTTTGGGTGATTCTTGAACTCCAATTTTCATGTCGGTTTTGCTGGTGTTTTAAATTTTATTTTGAATCATTTTTTTTTTCAAGAGTTTATAAACCTATTTGTTATCGCCCTACACATTAATCAAATTTTTTTGGATAAAAACTATACACGTGCCTTGTCATGTCATGTGGCATCTTAGTTAAATGCCAGTTTTGCCCTTGAAGTAATTGTTTAGGGACAGCTAATGTTAAGAGAAACCTAACCTCATCTGTCATGCCATTAACTCATCACAAACTTTAAAGTAGATTCAATATATCACATCATTTACGATTTATTTAATAAAAATATAACATTTAAATGATATTAAATATAAATTAATTTTAAAATTAATGATAGTAAAAAAAAAGTAAGAAATTAAATACACATTTTGTTATAAAAATAAAATCCTTTAAAATAATTTCATACAAAATTTTAGTTAGATGACTTTAAGTATTTTAATTGAATAAATTATAAATAATATAATACGCCAAATCTATTTAAGAAATTCTCTCACAGACAAATGTTAATTTAAGTAAGTCATTCCCACGCATATGTACACGTGGCATCCTAGTGGCTGCCCAATTAAACATTAAAAAATTCCTCTTTTAGATCACAATCAAAAATTAAATTATAAAAATTCCTTCATTTGTACATTTGGTAGTCTAACTCAAATTTAAAAAAAAAATTCCTTCATGTATATATTTAACAGCCTACAAAGCCTTATAGTTATTGTAAGAGAAAGCAAATGCTTGTTTGCAACTAAGCAAGGTTTTGAGATTAAGGCAATGTAGGGAAAGCAAGACATTAAGATTGAGAGAGTGAGGGTACTTAAAAAAAAAAAAAAAAGTCTGGCTACCAAGTATACAGATGGAGAAATTTTTTAATTTAATTTCTAACTATTATATGATTGAGGAATTTTTAAAAAATTTATGACACTATACGTACACACACATAGTATCCACTAACTTAAATTTAATGTTTGAATGACAAAACACATGCGGTTAGGTTTTTTAATGTTTAAATAAGAAAATGACTTAAAATTAAGTTTAAAATATTAGCTACTCCTAAACAAATACTCCAAGAATACGAGTGACATTATTAAATGGGTTAAAGTGAAAAGCCACCTCAAAAATATTGCATGAGGGGCAATTAGTATTTTTAATTCTTAAAAAGTGCAATATTTCCCCTGACCTTTCAAAAAAAAAAAAAAAACAATGCCCCAATCTCAACGGATTATATTTATTGATAGTGAATGAGTTATATTTGACTCTGAAAGGTTTTGTTGGCTAAGCACTTGGCATATGTAGCATCCATGTGCTTGAGGGAAATAAAAATCAGCAAACCACGACCAAAATAAAAAGAAAAAACCAAATCTAAAAACCAAGTCTAAAATTTAAAAAGGAAAGAAAAAAGGGATGGTGATGGAGCTTGGATTTGAGGAAATGGAAAAGGCTGTCCAGTATGGGTGTGAAAGGAGATGCAAGATGGATATTAATGAAGTGAAGAAGGCGATGAAAGTAGCGTTAGGGGAAAGAGTTTAGAGGAGGAAGTAGGGAGACAAGTATCAGGCAAGGTTGGAAGCAGAGGATTGGGGATTGGAAAAAGGGATGACGAGGACAATGAGGATGATGGTTTAACAATGGGTTTCGGGCCATTCTCCAATGAGGTATTTCGTTGATCTGAACGCCAAGATCAAATTTTTGTTTACCCTCCTTTTATTTTCTGGGTAAAAATCCTTTTATTTTCTTTCATCGCATTGATCTCACGCATCACTTTGAAGAAATGAAACACAAAGGGTGGCGATATCATTAACCACTCAAAATCCAAAGCCATTTAGTCAGTCTAGATCATCTAAGCATGAAGTCCATATCCTTCTTTTGGTTTTTCTCTACTTGGCCATAGTAATCTTCTTATGACTTCAGATTCACCCATCCTATATAAAAATCAAACCAAACCCTCAACAATATTTTTTGGTCTTGACCGAACTTCAATATTGGAACTGGAAGAATCTTCGACATGCAAGGTCCATCGACCCTGACAATTTCAAGATGCAGGGTTGGCTTGGTAGTTGTGTTTTTTAGATGTGATTTTTTTTCATTTTTGTTCAAATATTTTGTTCTAGTTCAATGTTCTTGATTTGTTGTGTCTGTTTGGTATTGCTTCCTTGTTCATGTTGACCAAGGATTGGGTTGTGATGAGGAAGTAGAGCCAATATATCTGATTCTTCCTCTTTTTTAATTTTTATTTTTTTTATAATATGACATGTAACTGCCAATTATATACTTAGATTTCAATAAAATAAAAAAAAAAAGATGTGGATGACATGTGGACATGCCACCTAAACTTAATAAAATCAATTAATAGTCAAACGTTTACTTCTATTAAAATTAGGCAACATTACATTATTTTTAAATGGTGAATGGCATAGTGTACTTTTTAAAACTTTAAGATATCAATAACACCTTATGAAAAAAAATTCAAGAGTGAATTTATACCTTAACCTTTATTAAATTCTAATTGGGCATCCATTAAAATGCCACATAGAGTGTTGCGGGTACAATTTTTTTGTTTAAAAAAATTGGTTAACAAGCGCATTAACAACATCGTAGAAATGGATTTGTTTTTAAATGTTTTAGGAGAGAAATGATCCAAAATCAAATTCAGGATACCCACAAATCTGACATGAAAACTTCAAGAAAAAAAATGACCTCTAACTCATTTTTTTAAATTGCTTTTTTAACTATAAAACATTTTAAAAAATTGTCGGCAATTTGTTGTTATTTCTATGGAATGGTGTCCAGTCCATGTAATGATAATATTAATATATCCTTTTTCATTAAAAACTTATATGTGGACAATATTTGTTTGATGTTAATCTAGGTAGAGGAGAAACAAGCAATAATAGTAGAAGGACACTATATCTTAATTCAAAATCTCAAGATTTAAATTTATACAAGTTTCTATCTTTTAGGGTTAACCCTATTTTATGGGCTTTAAATGGTGTGATACCCACAAATCCTTGTTATAGTTAGGCCAGTCTCATTTTAAGACTCACATGTGTGCGAAGTAATGGACTTACAAGCCTCAATTAAAACTAGGTTTTAGTACCATTTGTTAAGAATGAGGAGTGATTGCCAGGGAATGAGGGAGAGGAGAAACAAGCAAGATTAGCTAAAAGATGCCATGTCTTAACTCAAAACCTCAATGCTCAATCTTTCTCTTTTACTTTATATTAGTTATTAAATTTAAATTTATCCGATATAAGACTTCTTACATTGGCATAACTCTACTCATATTTGAATAACATAACATTTCATGTGAGAAATTTAGGCAAGAATAGTGAGAAAATATATTCCGTGAGAAAGAATTATTGTTCACTCCAATTAAAGATGTGGCTTAATATTAAAAATTTAAACTTCATACTTTGAATAAAGTCATATTCAATAAAAGAATACATGTACATAGATTATCCAAAAGATAAAAAGGAATTCATGCACGTGAAAATGGGTGATTCATCTTAATTAACCACCATGATTGATAGCTTTATGCAATTAACTGTTGCCCAAGAATTACATAATATTATTTTGGCTTAAAGACCATTTTCTCTCCTAATTTTTTTTCAGGAATTCTAAACACCCTATATTAAAGAGTAGGGCAATTCCCCTTGAACAATTTTTACAAAAGCAAAACCATCCTTCTATCAAAGACCCATCAATTTCTTTGTTATCTATTGATGTGAAATAATTGTAAAGCCCACACATTGTGATAACAAAGCATTTTGACCATATGATGTGGGCTACAAGAGTTGAAAGTGACAGGACAAAGCTTGATTTTAGTAACGAAATGGCAACAAAATGAATCAAAATACCTTGCTAACATTGTTTGTTGGTCCCATAACTATTTCACATTAGCAAATGATGGATCTTTGATAAAAGGGCGATTTTACTCCTAAAAAAATTGTTTATAAGTGATATTGCTCCACCTTTTAATACAAGATATCAGGCACTCTTGGAAAAAAAATTAAAAGAAAAAATGGTCTTCAGGCTTGTTATTTTTGTCACTCTTGAGATGTGGGATCTTTAAGTTAGAATAGATCACTTGTTAGATAGTTTTATAATCCCTCCATAGATAATCTCCATGGTGTTGGAATTATACTCTAGAAAATACAATTACCTCTTATACAGTTTCTTTTCATCTAGAAATTGTTGCATCTATCTTTATCACTTTTAAAATGGGGAGAATTATGTTAAAGTCCTATATTAAGAAATTAATTACTATAAGGTTTATTGACAACTGAATTAAAACCATTGACAACTAATTGCATTGTCAATAACCTTAATTCAATTATTAATCGACCTTGTAGTAATTACTTTTCTTATGTAAAACCTATATGTAATTCTCCTTTAAGATATTGAAAGCTCATCACTTGAATCTAAAAAAGAAAGCTCATCACTCGAACATCTTCTTGACCTTTTGGGTGATAGATCCCCAAGACACTTGACTATCTTTTCATCTCATATTCTTATATTAAAGCTATATATTGCATGGCGCTTTGTCTATTCGGTTAGCTTCTCTTGAATAGCAGGACATTATCAATTGGATTTCTACTATATTCCCTTTTGAACACTAATCCCAACCAAGGGTAAGCACTTGACCAGAACAAGAGATATGGGGGGAAGTTGAGAAGAGGCTCAACTTTAAATCCATCATTGAGTATATACAGGAGTCAGGGGAGATGGTAGATGTAATATCTAATCTCGTGCACATGGATGGATTGTCAGAATGTATGCACTTATACGCACAAAATTAGACAACCTAAAGCCTTTCATGATAACATATATGCATATAAATACAAAATATGTATACACACAATATATATCTATATCTTATATATATATATATATATAAACAAATATTACACCTTTCTGACAACCTAAAATCAATATTTCTGATATCAACACAAAAAGGGGACAAAATATATTAACTAGATATTCAGAGTTCAGACAGAGTAACTGATTTAAAAGGCTCGGTGAGCTGCTGATATAAATGTAACTCATACAAAGCTCGGAGAATAATATTCTTATTCCCATAAAGTACAACAGAATACCCCTAGAATCAAATTGCAACTGGGCCAAGCACCACCGGCGAACTCCAAAGAATAAAATAAATTATAATAACTGACATGAAACACTTTTCTACGCCTATCAGCATCTCTCAAAATTGTCGAGCCGCATTCGGCCATTCTGCGAGGAGTCATTTCCACGAGTCCAGTCCTGTACATGGAAAAGAATCAAAGTTGTGTATAACACGACCACAACCAACGAAATATACATGGAATCCTATCTCTCAGGAACATAGAAGCATCAGTTAAAAGTGCTAATGCTAAAGTGCCAAATTACATACCGAAAGTCTTTAATCCATGAAGTTCAAGAGCTTTTTACGATAATACCATCTCTCTATTTAGGAATATTCAAAGATTCATTAGGCCATACTCAGAAGGTAAATATATAAAATCGCCCAGAAACAGCAATAATGACACGTCAAGATGTATAACTAGATCTGGAAAAGAAAAACAGATCTATAGGTAGGGCATAGTATAACGCAGTGTCACTCTAGACCCGACACAGGAGTGTAGAGTACAGACTAATGTGCACAATTTCAGAAACAATGCTAAACCATGTCATCAACTCAAGTAGATCAAAACCTAGAAAGGAAAGGGAAATGAATATTGAAAAGGAATAGGAAAGCAAGGATCAAAGTAATCTATGTACCCAATCACTTTTCAGCTAAAACTGAATTAAAAGCACAAGGATATTTAAGATCTCAACAGTTAAGCTAGGAAGCATAATCACGTGAAAATAAAAATATCAAAGCAAGAAAACGCAAGTCATACAGTCATGTCGCCTTAGAAAACTGGTCCCATTGGTGGAAAAAAAAATTGTTTTCCTCTCGTGCCCTGATGAAGACAAAAGTTCTTGCATCCTCTCTGGCCAGTCTGAATTCAATATGCGTTTAAAATCTTCCACTTCCCTGCAACAAAAGGTACCATGAAAATAAGATTTTAGTATCTTATTTAAATAGCACGATTGTGTAACAGAATAACTAGTTAAAGTAGCTAGAATCATGCATAGACAAAGGACCTATAAGGACATATGTGCTGAGAGATCTGAATAGTAGTCATACATTTGTCCTTTCTCAGAACCCTTTATGGCCCCTAGGAGCCAGGAACTTGATCACAAAAAGAGAAAAAAAAAAATTGTTGGGGGGGGGGGCGAAGATGAGAGAATAGGCTCAACTTTAACACCATCATTGAGTCTATGCGACCAATAATGGAGTATAACACAAGAGTTAGGGAAAATGCTAGATGTAATGTCTGTGCATGAGACATACATGATGGATGTGGCATCAAACATGTATCACCTGATGACCAATGGGAATTGGGACACCATGGGGGTGTCATCAAGCATGCTCAACAGTCAAGCTTCTCCCCAATTTGGGTCCCATAATAGGATGCATCATCTTGTTGTGAGGCCACCTAACTCATTCCCAACTGGGAAGTTTTATATCGGTTATAGAAGGCTCAATGAAGAGATAATCAAGAACAAATTCATTATCCCCATTGTAAAGGAATTGGATTAGTATAGGTTGCCGTCAGATAAGGATGAAGAAGGAAGATACTCGATGGCCAAAGTTGCTTCCTTTGGCTAAATTGTGATACAAAAAACACATCTAACCACTTAGTTATAGGCATGGCACCATATCCCAACCCTAACCAACTTCCTTACTTGGCTGGTGAATTGAGAAACGGGGTAGTGGACAGAAACTGCACAGCCAAACACAAATTTGAGATGGAGTTCACAGTAAGAGACCAGGTTTATCTAAAACTTAACCCCTTCAGAAGGAACCCCACTCGTTACTCTTTTCAAAAGCCTGCAACTAAGTATTCCGTGCCTCATCCAGTCATCAAGAAAAGTAGTGAAGGCTGCATGTGAGTACAATTACTAGATGATTCCAGAGGATACATCATTTCCCTTGTTTTTGTTGTCAAAGAAAGAAGCTGAAAATGGGCCTCCAGTAAGCAAAAGCCTGCTATAAGTGGATGATTCAAACGCAGTTCCTGCCATACAAACAACAACAACAACAACAAGCCTTTATTCCACTAGGTGGGGTCAGCAACATGAATTGCAAGACGCCATTATGCTCTATCATTTATCAAGTTTTTAGGAATATTATTAATTAAGAAATAGCATTCAACAACTTCCAAGAGTGTTCTCCTAGGCCTTCCTTTACCCCTCTTAATCAGGCTCAAAGTTATATGTTCCACTCTTCTCACTGGTGCCTCCCATGGTCTTCTTTGCACATGCCCAAACCATTTCAACCGATTTTCTACCATTTTTCTTCAATAGGTGCTACCCTCACTTTTTCATGTACGTGCTCATTTCGAATTTTATCTTTACGTGTATGTCCGCACATCCATCGTAACATTCTCATCTCTGTTACTCCAACTTTAGTTCCTGCCATAGCATGAGGAAATAATAACTAGGAAGGTAGTGCAAAGAAGGAAACATCCCAGTTCCCACCCATTAACAAAAAAGTGGGAACATGCTAGATTGGAAGGTCTTCCTGCACTTCAACAGTAGTTTCCTCACTTCAACACTAGCACCTATTCCAGGAAGAACCTTTAAGGTCAAGGGTCTCTATAGGGTGACTGATAGGTGTACATTAGCCTCATGTATAGATGGAGGACCTATAAGAGCAGGCTATGAATTCTTGAGAGATCTGAATAAATCATATATTCATTCTTTCCCGATATTATTCTGGCATCCCTAACAATCATGCAAACATCTATTCTATCAAATTATTATCTTATTTTACCTAAAATGAAATTTATAAAAAAGGCGAACACACCAATAGGGAAACCAACTAAAAAAATGTGATAAATATATTAGATAATAGGGTAAAAATAAGATATGAAATTAAATAATTGTAATACAATAAAGCATTAAATTAAAATAATAATAACTGCGGGCATCAGAGACTGAGAAAAACCTTTGCATAGGGAAAATTGGGCCAACTCAATGAACATATATAACATTGAAGAGAAAACCAGGTACCAGGCTGCAAAAGTACAAAGTAAAAGCAGACGCTGCATGTGTGACATTTTATTATATTCAGTTTCGTGACATCTGTAAATGCACTGTAATGGATACAAACACCACTTTATCATTACAAATTGTATTTGGTCATTGTCATGTCTCCCAGTCCCACAAGAAGAATGCCAACTCGTAATGCCATGCTCAACCAGCAATGGATAATATGAAAACAGAATTAATAATCACAGCACACAGTTTCATAATTCTAGATTCTTGTCTTGCGCATACCATATGTTCTAGATAAAAGCCATTGGGCAATTTTAATGACCACGAGCCAGAATAAAATCTAATGAACATTGCCTGACTAAAGCATTGCACAAAGAATTAGCTCCACCTGTCAATTTTTTCCTGTAGTGCAGGATCGATCTCATCGTCTATCTCACCATCATCAAACTCAGCCTTATGAACAAGGGTGTCATTCTCCGTATCATGCAAATTTGAGGTCTCACCAATTCTATCAGCTTCAGCACTTTGGCATCTGATGTCATGACCATTTGATTCCTATTCAGGAAAAAAGGAAAAACAGAATTTCAATGATGATTTTGAGCATTTACTGTGTTCAATAAAGCACAACAGAATACAACCCAAAACAATAAATTAATTAAACAGCAAGACAACAGAATATATACACTGACCTCCTTAAGTTCAGAAGTCTCCTCTAAAGAAGAATTCTTCTGTTGATCTTTTTTTCTCCGGTTCTTCTTTTTATTTTTGGAAGTTTTGATTCCCTTTGGATCTGTGACGGAATTCCATGCCCTCAGTGAGAGACGTAATAAAATATAAGACGGGGAAAAAAATAGAGGCTATAAATCCCAACAAATCCTCAAAGAAACTGACATATTCAAAATCCACTAAATGGCAAAGGCTTATATAACATGCGCACAAGGAGATGAGCAACAAAAACCATCACTTCGCATACTGTGTCAAGGTCATACAATAGTCTTTATCATAATAGTACTTGTTGATTCAAACGTTCTCTTTCATTGGAGTTCATGTCTATATAATTTATTTCCATGAATTTCACTAAAACTTCAGGTCCTAGAAACAAATTCCAAAATCCAATATGTAACAAGTGAGAATGTCAGTGATTGCAACTTTTAACTCTTAAAATATTCTTTCCTTTAGAGGTAAGCTGCAGTTTCAAAAAATGTTATGGCCAAACTGGTGTAAATTCTGTTTAACACTTTAAAACTCCAGCATCAAAGCCGTGCCTAAAACTCTCCAGAAAGAAGGGGGCCAATATGAATAACCAAAACACTTTACCTATTCTTTCCTAAATTTGGTGGAGAATGGTGTTTTTTATCAAAATGGTATAGTCTGTATGATGCTGTTGGTGTGGTCATAGCCAACAGTAACATGATTATTTTGGGCTCATACGGGATTTACTACAGTCAAACTGGTTTTCTCTTAGCCCTTCATTCTTTGATAAACTAATGATTTTTATTAAGAAGAAAAATACAAATGAGTACAACCGGGTCTTCTTCAAGGTGAAGGTTGAGCTTGAAAATCACAATAAAACAAAAGATACAATAAAAAAATCCACCTCTACCACTTCCATTTATAAAGGACAAAAGGTCATCAACTGAACGCTTATCTACACATTCATCTGCACACTCGTCATCAACTTCAACATTCTGAAACACAAGGAATAAATCTAATTAAAATCAACATTCATACGTTATAGGGCATGAATATTTGTGCAAGAGTACATGTGCACAGTTATCAACAACAAACGCTCAATTCAACATGAAATTGTCAATAAAGGATAAGGATTACATTCAGCAGTGTGACACATAGTAGCATGTGAGTTGCAAAGTATAAAACAAAACTCCATCACCTTTAACCTTTCACGCTCTCTAAGCTCCTTCCTCTTCTTGGCATACAAACGGTTCAACAGTCTGATCCTTGGATCATCAGTTGTGTTTTTCAAAGGCTCCAATTTTTCTTCCTGTAACAAAAGAACAAGTGAGAAATGAAAACTGAAAATCAAAGAAGATATAAGCGCCATACTTAGTTCTCACAAGCACCAGACACCTCTGTTAGATCATCAGGCAAATGAAATATCTCACGTATCTCCTCAGGTGTTTTCCCTTCAATTATTCGAGCAAGCGCACGACTGGTAAGATCAACCAATGGCTTCAGCTGAAGGCTGTCAGCAGCAGATGTCAACTCACACAGCTTTTTGGTGTCCATCCGAACAAATTTTTCATCAAAGCACTTTCGTTCCTAGACAAGAAAACTACCCAAAAGTAATCATCCTTGACATTCATTGTCGTCAGCTCAATTATCTCGCCTGAAGATAACAACACTAAAGTATTGTAGAAACAGGTAAAACCTTGTTTGAGCGCCCTGGTACTTGATGAAATCGGCAATAGTCAAGGATTAAGCTTAAAAGAACAGGACTAACTCGTTGAGGAAGACATATGGCACAATTCTTGGATGATCCCATCCCTTTTTGTATTATTTCATGACATATAAGAGGGCAAAACTTTGCAACTTCTTGTTCCACTTGTTGAATGGAACCATCAGAAATCTGAAGCCAGACATAGGCTTTTGTCATCTGAAAATTTAAATTAGCGCCAGTATTGTTTCAGTATCAATGTGGAAGAAGCAACCACAAAATTCTCTGGGGAGCACACCTCCTAAAATAAGAGCATGACAATGGGGTATTTCCATATAAGGCAAGTTGACAAATGTTCATAAGAAAATCACAGTTTCATCAAGGCTTCTGTTTCCCTAAATAGCCTAATATGGGATCTCAGGGAATCATGAAAGTTATCACAGATTACACAAAAGATTGGTTTTGGGTTTAAGGAGAAAGAAAATAAAGGATTTGCATGAGCCATAATGAGACTTAACATGCCTAGCATTATTTTAAAAAAAAAAAAAGTAATAAGGTGAGATTATAATTTTGGAAAGTAAAATGTGTTGCTTATGTGCATCAACGCAACTAATATTTGACAACTAGCAAGGAACGTATAAAGTAAAATGTCCAAGAAATACAGGAGTGCATATTTAATCACCACTGAAACTCCCCATTATTTAAATCAATCAACCATAAAAGCGCACACTATCAATTTTTAATGCATGGTCCCAACCTATAATTTTTCCTTAAGAAAATAAATAAGAAAGTCAGACATAACCATATCACCACTAAACCTATTCCTTCAAGATTTAAAACTCAAGCTATTTCATATTCTTATCTGATAATAAAAACTCTCAAGTTTCACAAGTCAATAAAAACACACAGGATATAGGCTTAACTTCCATGTGTATAAAATCTACTTGGCATTTGAGGTGGAAAGTATTCAATGTTGTAAGAAAACTCAAAATCAAAAAACTAAAAAAGGCACATATGCGTTAAGTTCCTAGAAGAAATTAAAGTCATTAGCGAAAGTAATGACAATAAAGTATTTGAAGCTTACAACAAATAAATTACTGAACCAAATAAGATAAAATCACAAAACCAATGCACAGCCCAGAAGACAATGAAGTAAAGAAGGAAACCCCAGACATGTATGACTCACATCAATAAACATTGACTTATAGGAAAGGTGCCATACCTCAGGTTTAATAATTGCCATGTCAATTTCGGACATCTGAAAATTATTCGGAAAATAAAATATGTGGCTTTAGAAAGTTTGTTTTTATTGCAAGCAGTATACTCTGAAGCATGAATTTAAACTGTGATTCCACGGAACCAGTTATGATGACCACCCCAAAAAGGTCCCAGCAACATCACCAAAATGTGCATGTTCCATGAGCAAAACGATCTGCAGGGATGCACAAATTTCTATGTCATGGAATGTGAACTGGTGAGCAAAACTGGCACAATTTTGTGCAAAGCGTTTAAATGATAATGGTTTAGCACCTCTAAAATTCAAAGAAAAGAATGTAAAATTGAAGATAAAAGTCAACACGTGTGCACGTTAAGAAATGATAAGCACTCTACTAATACTTAGCTTGATAACTATAATTCAAAATTAGAATAGCCGCTTTATAACTTTAAGTCAGAATTAGAATAGCAATTGTCAATATACTGTCCATGTCACATAAATGATACTTTTCAATATGTTGTCTAAGAATCTTTTGACAATTGATTACTTCACCGCCCCATTGGAGCAAAGCTAACAAAGAAGTGCCTTGCAGAAAATTTAAGAGCCACTGTTAAGAAAGAAATGAAAGAACACATGCGTATTTTATTCACTGGACGTATTGATCAGAATACAAGTAGGGTGTTTATACTTCACTACCCTGAAGGTACCACTTCAGTTAATAACACAAGTTTTATTTATTTCTTAACATCCACTAACTGGGAAAAAAACAGAATATCAATTCTCATTTACTCATCATACAGCATTTACACGTAACAGCCACCTTAGACATCCCTGGAACAGTCCTCTTGGTAAAAAGTATGTTGTTGGCCCCCTAATGCACTCCACGGTAATGTCCTTTCTCCAAATTGAATATAGTAAGTTTTAGTTTGCACCCAAAATACTTAGCTTCATAACTATGATTCAAAATAGGAATAGCCGCTTTATAGCTATAAGTCAGACTTAGAATAGCAATTGTCAATATACTGGTCATGTCACATAAATGAATCTTTTCAATATGTTGTTTAAGAATATTCTGACAGTTGATTTCTTCACACACACCCCCCAACCACTGGAGCAAAGCTAATAGAGAAGGTGCCTTGTATAAAATTTAAGAGCCACTATTAAGAAAGAAATGAGAGAAATCGTGCATATTTTATTCACTAGACGCATTGATCAGAGTACAAGTAGGGTATTTAACTATTTATACTTCACTACCCTGAAGGCACTACTTCTGTTAACAACATAAGTTGTTATATTTATTTCCTAACATCCACTAGCTGACAAAAACAGAATCTCTTTGCCCATTTACTCATCATATAGCATTTACACGTAGCAGCCACCTTAGGCATCCCAGGAACAGTCCTCTTTGGCAAAAAGTATGTTGTTGGCCACCTAATGCGCTTCTTGGGAATGTCCTTAGTCCTCAGCATCTAGGTTGCATAGATACGGGTATGAGTATTCGATACGATATGGCATGATACGGGAATACAGCAAATTTAAAAAAGTTTAGGATACGGGTACAGAGATATTTATAATATATATTTCAACATTTTATGATATAAGTATAGGTATTTTGATTTTTAAATAAGAATTTTTAAAATAATATAAAGATATTTATAGTAATTAACTAAAATATTATGTGATTTTTTCAAGTTTTTAAGTGATATAGTAAAAAATTATTGAAAAAAATCATATCACAAATGTTAGAATATGGGATACGTATGCAGAAGTATCCTACAAGTATCAGATACGTATCGGATATGGGTATGTTTACTTTTTTGAAGTATCCATGCTACATAGCTCAGCGTCCCCAAACCATTCCAAGTAGGATGCCTAGGATCTGGCAGAGAGGAAACCACGAGGACCTTCAGGAGAAAGAATACTCATTCAGAACCACCTCAAAGTACTACTTTCTGCCATTCTTGAGATATTTGATCTTCCCTGCAACCTAGATTCTCCTTACACCACTACTCTCACACTAAAATATATCATAAAGTTAGATTTAGAGAAAGAAACATTTCTTTTCAATAACTATACATCACAGGTGGTTACAGATGCCAACTCATGCTTTAATTCTTTCGCATTAGCCAATTAAATTCTTTTATGATCAAGCAAATAAATTCACAATCAGCAACTATATCAACTTCCCAAAATTGCAATAATCATGTTTCCTGTAAGCAAGAATTCTAACGGTAATTTTTAGTGACTGGATCTGTCTAAGAACAGAGGAGTAAAAATAGAAACTATGGAAGTCTTCTTGAAAATAATTTAGGGTTATAAAGCCATTGTTAATTTCTTTCTCCTGCACCAGGAAGAAAACACAAGGACCTCTCACAACTCATGTTCCCGTAGCATAAAAATCACCCCATGACTAATCCCCGTGGTCTTTACAGAGGTTGAGGAAGAGTTCTGGATCATTCTTATCGCATCACAGTCATAATAAACATCCTCTTTGTCTATCAACCAAATTTCCAGCAACCGAGACAAAAGTAATTCAATACAAAACTAAAGACAAAAAAGAATGACCAGACAGCCCATAAATCGTTCACAGGAGCTCACAGCCCACTAATAATGGGCATAATGAACACGCTTCATCTCATTCTATTGATAAAATCCATTCAAGCCTTTATGAGTATGCAATAAAAAGAAATTTGCAAAGAGATTTGCAGCGCTTACGTGCGTTATGTGCCTCTTAAAGCGGGATTGCAGATGGGAAGCTATAAAATGGAGAATATTGGCAGTAGTCGGCGATGATAGAACGGATAGAAGAGGGATAATTTTTATTTCGACAATTGAAGAAAATATGAAGAAAAAAAAAATTCACGAACGAAATGGAGAACGTAGTTAGAGATAGAGTGAGAACGAGAGCTGGAAATCCGTGTCTCAGAATTTTACACTTCAGTTGTCAATGGCGAGCGACGAGACGAAGAGGTCCCGCGAAACGACGCCGCACTAGGTGAACCCGATTAGGTTTTCCGTTTAGGGAAATACATGAAGTAGGGGAGCCATTTCCAACCCTCCCCTCCAAAACCAAACCAAACCCACCCTTAATTGACTTCTGTTTGCCAAATTTGATTAATTTTTTATTATGATTTTGAAAATTCTGCTGTTTGATGGTTAATTTTAGCAAAATATAATTATAGGTTAAAAATCATATGGCTTTCAACCCAAGCAATTTTTTAAAACAGGCACGAACAAGGCCAAGAGTCTACTATCTATTGCTAGTACTTTTTTTAATCTATGTAAGGCTTGCTTTTTAACTAAAAAGCACAAAAATTAAAAAAAATAAATAAATCATAATTTGGTGTATCCTTCTATTTTATTTTTTAGGATGTCGGGCTGTATTCAACAAGAAAATGACATATCCTTTTTCATCAAAAGAAAATGATATGTTGGTAATATTTTTTTCACCAGCAATTGTCCATGATATCTATTCCACATGAGAGGTTTAGTTTATTTATGTTTAATATTTTTTAATTAATAAATAATACGTAATGAGAATTTAAAAAAACATATATTGTATCACATTGATTTATTTGCTAATACTCATTCAATTAATTATTTAAAATACTTTTTACAACTATTTTTTCAAATATTATTACACCTTTAGATTTGCAAATCAATTGAGCTTAAAAATAAATGCGGCTGAATAAGCCAAAAATGTACGCAGGCCTGAAAATATTATGGAAAATACTTAATTGGAAATTAGATTTTTTATGTTCATAGATTTATATGTTTGGAGGAGAGTAACAGAATAAGTTAAATATTTATAACCTCCATTCCATTTTTTATTTATTTTCTTTAAATACATTGTATATATTTATTGTTCTTGAAATATAGAAGATTCGAACTGAATTTTGTTTGTTGCCAAAAAAATGAATTCTCTTAATAAATATATTAATGAATGTTTATATGCAATCCAAAATGGATCAACACATCAGGATAGACTAGCCTTGTTTCAACATCCAATAGAAATAATATTTGATTTGTAAATAATCGTTGAATTTTAAAAAGTTTGAAATCTAAAATTAAGATTTTTTTTACTCTAAGGGATTAAAAGTTTTGAGCAACCAAAAATATTTTTCGGTCTGGTTACAATCAAATAGGTCATTAATTTATGTCAACATCATCTTTCATTGAATTTTATATTAAAAAAATTTATATATTTAAGCTTATATATTCCAGGTTCTTGTTTTCAACCAAATTAAAACAAGTAAATTTTTTATAAATTATTTATTTAATAACAAACTTTTTTTATTGATATTGTTAATACATTAAAATTCACTTATATGAATTTAAATAGATAAAAAAATATTAAATATATAAGTCTTATTTTTTTTTTTTACATCTATCGATGTTCTTGTAGCCAAGCATGTAAAGGGTCAATCTTTACTGCAATTTGTAGGATGAGTTGGACCTTTTTGTTAATATATAATTATCTTTTTTGCATAAAGAAAGACAGTATGGAGAAAAATAGAAAAATAAATCATACAAAACTCTCATGAATTTTATTGCAATTACACAGAACTTTTCATCTTTAAAAGTTTCAAATCAACTTCCATAACTTTTTATATTTTTAGTACAAGATCCCCTATTACTATTTCTTAATTATCTTATTAATAAAATTTGCAATGTTATATTAAGAAAAGACATATACTCTTTTAGTGTTATTTATAAGGTAGAAAGAGAAGAAAAAATTTAATTCTATTTACAAGGCACTTGGTATTTTATAATACTTCTCTTTATATTTTTACTCTTATTAAATACTTTTAATAAAAATATCAGTAATGAAAATTAAGAATATTTATCAAGGGTTAAAGTAAAAACTTGTTAAATTTTAAGATAAAGTTAATAAGATTTAAGATTTTCCTTGATTTCGATAAAACATGTTGGAAGTGACTTATAAATAGGACTAAAAAATATAGTAGCTTATGTGGTATTCGATGTAAACTAATAATAATAATAATAATAATAATAATACATATGAAAAAATTTATAAAGCTATTATTAACTTGTATCAAATGCCACATAAGCTATTATGTGTCCTTTCTAGATATGATGTGATAATTTTTATTAGTAAGATAACTAAGAAATAATGGTAGTAAAGTATGTGAACAAATATATAAAATGTAAGTAAAGGTAATTAAAAAAATTTAAAAGTAAAGATGTTCTATAACTGTTTCAAAATTTAAAAGAATTATGTATGTTTTAATTTTTTTCGTAAGAAGAAAATGAGGAGTGTTGGGTGGGAGAAAGTAAATTGGGCCAAGCATGCCCAATTGAAAAAAAATGTCAATTTGTTAAAAAGTACAAGGTGCCATTTGGTCTAAAGATGTGAACCTATTTAACAAGCCTAGGCGCCTAGTGGCATTATTCTTCCTCCATCTATTAAAAAATATAAAACACTTTTTGTTAAATTTTATCTCTTAATAAGGTATTTATTTACCTTTACATTAACACAATTTTTTTATATTTATCTTTATTTAATAGGACATTTTACTTTAAAATAAATATAAAGTGATTTATGCATTAAAAATATTTTTTTAAAAAAATGTAATGATTACAACTTCAAACATTACAAATTTTTTACATTTTTTAATATTTAATTTTTTAAAAAATACTTTATATTTTGAATGGATGAAATATAAGTTATATTTTTTGAAAAAAAATCTTATAAGTCCTATGCATCAATTCTTTTAAAACTCTCTGCACCTTTTCTACTCTCTAGGCCAAAAAAAATACTTAATACACATAAATTTCACATTGTGAAAAGCAATGAAATTATACAATTCAATCATCTTATTCATTTAACTAAAGAACTATATGAACCAATGTTTTCCCTAATTCTGTAACAAGTCATAAAAATTATTGCAATGTTTAGATATATATGGACTTAGATTTGAGCTAAATTTATTATTTGAATAATTAAAAATATATGGATTTGACCAATCCAAATTTTACTTCAATTTCTTTATAATTTAAAATCCTTTTAAAACCCATATTATTTTAAACCCTAACTCAAACTCTTTTGTAATCTGACCTAAATTCATGAAGGCTTGATCGATCTGCCAATTGTTATTGGATTGGATTGTTGGAGTTAACAGAAACAAGCTGCCACTATTGATTTGGATTAGACGAACAATTTCCACCAAAACCAGACTAACGGCAGCGACCAAGACGAGGTGACTGACTTCCACCAGGACCAAACTAAGGCGATGACAGAGATCAAATGGCCAACTTTCTTTAGGACAAGACCGATCGTGATGATGGGATTGGCTAGCCGACTTCCATCGGGTCCAAGCAGATAACAACGACAGGGACCAGCCAGCCAATTTCCATAGGGACTAGATGAATGGAAACCATGGAGACTGTATAGTTGGCTTCCATCGAGACTAGATCAATGGCGATAATGAGGATCGGATGAACGACTTTCCATTGAAATTGGATCGATGACAATGACGGGAACCAAACAGGTAACTTTCCCCTAGGATCGGACCGACGGTGATGAAGGGGACAGGACAACCTACTTCTATTGGGATTGGATTGACGGCAACCATTTAGATTGGACTATGGACTTCCACCAGGACGTGACTGATAGCTACCATTTAGATCGGATGATTGATTTCATTGGAATTGAATGGCCAACTTTCACCAGGACCAGACTAATAGTGATGACAAGGACCCGACGACTGACTTTCACCGAGTGTAGTCTTGATAGAAGTCGGCCATCAAGTTCTGGTGGAAGTTGGCCATCCTACTCAATTGTCGCTATCGGTCTGGTCCCGCTGGATATTCTCAATTCAGTCTCAGTAGTCATCGTCGGTATAATCTCGATGCAAGTTAGTCATTTGGTCTCGATCATCGCAGTCGGTCCAATCCCTATGGAAGTTGGTCGTCCGGTCCTGGTGCAAAGCGATCGTCGGGTCCTAGTGGTCGTTGTCAGTCTAGTCTTGATGGAAGGAGGCCGTTCGGTCCTCATGGTAGCCATCAATCCTATCCTGGTGAAAGCATGGTTGTCCAATCTCTGTGGTCATCGTCGATTCAATGCTATGGAAGTTAGCCGTCCCATCTCGATCATCAATAGTGCTACAATCCCAATCACTTTGACTATCTGATCCTAATGAAAATTGGCCATTTAGAACGTGAACTTTAACTAATCATCCAAGTTTCTTTTAAATTTAAATATATAATTTGAAATTTTACTTTAGATCCAAATAAAAAATTTTAATATTATAATTTTAAATTTTTTATACAATCTAAATAAAGAATTTATAATTTATAAATTTTAAATGTGAGATTTTAAATATAAAATTTTAAATTTAAATTTCCTACTTAAATCTACTCGTGCAATCTATAATTATTTTAAAGGATTGATAAATAGTTGATCGACTATTATCTCATCATTAAGGAAAAAAAAAAACAAATAATCTTGACATTATAACTGTCATTCCAAAGATAATTAATATCCATTGTTAATAGGACTATATAGGTCTAGCCCCATATCTGTGACATAATTCTTGCCTTTGTCCTCAAAAAGGCCGTTGCATAAAAATAATCACCACGGAAGATGGTAATTCTACCGTGGAGGCTTAACCGCGATTAGGCAAGCCAGTGCGATGTCTCATTCCAACGAAAATGTTTACAATTGCTTTGCGGATTTAATATAAATTTGGATCTCTAACATTTTAAAGAATAAATACATGGGTGAATTACAAAGATATGGATGCAATGATCCTTATTAAAAAAAAAAAAGGACATGGATATAATAATAAGGAAAAACTTATACACTGAATATGTTTGTTTCTGATTAATTCAAAATATGTATATCTTTTATAGATTATTTATCTTATAATAACATATTAAGATTCAATTGTTATGGTTTGATTGACTACAAGTACGTTAAATACATAAATCTTAGCCAAATGATAATGGTAATTCAATACAAACTGCCATAGGTGGGTCCACATTTTTTATGATAATGCTACTTTCTTTCTTCCTCTCACACACACA